CAAGTGCCAGGCCTGTTGGCCACCATCGCCACTACCTCCAACAACTTCCACCACCACCTCCACCACCTCCACCTCCTCCACCATCTCCACCATCTCCACCACCTCCACCACCTCAAAACAACTTCCACCACCAATACCACCACCAATACCACCACCTCCAACCACTACCACCACCAACCACTTTCCACCTCCACCACCTCCAACCACTTCCACCACCAACACCACCACCTCCAACCACTTCCATCCACCTCCAACCACTTCCACCACCAACACCACCACCTCCAACCACTTCCACCACCACCGCCACCACCTCCAACCACTTCCACCACCTCCAACCACTTCCCACCACCAACACCACCACCTCCAACCACTTCCACCACCACCGCCACCACCTCCAACCACTTCCACCACCTCCAACCACTTCCACCACCAACACCACCACCTCCAACCACTTCCACCACCACCGCCACCACCTCCAACCACTTCCACCACCTCCAACCACTTCCACCACCAACACCACCACCTCCAACCACTTCCACCACCACCGCCACCACCTCCAACCACTTCCACCACCACTGCCACCACCACCGCCACCACCGCCCCAAGTCGCTCAGCAAACCTCTTTGTGCAGCCAGGCGCTCGACCTTCAACAGTGCCACTTCACAACTCTTGAAGAGGTGGTGGTTGTGGTGGTTGTGGTGGTTGTGGTAGTGGTGGTTGTGGTGGTTGTGGTGGTTGTGGTGGTGGTTGTGGTGGTTGTGGTGGTAGTGGTTGTGGTGGTGGTGGTTGTGGTGGTGGTGGTTGTGGTGGTTGTGGTGGTTGTGGTGGTGGTGGTTGTGGTGGTGGTTGTGGTTGTGGTGGTTGTGGTGGTTGTGGTGGTGGTGGTGGTGGTTGTGGTGGTTGTGGTGGTTGTGGTGGTGGTTGTGGTGGTTGTGGTGGTTGTGGTGGTGTTGGTTGTGGTGGTTGTGGTGGTTGTGGTGGCGGTGAGGAAGCTCTGAGAGCCGAGTGGAGTTTACGAAACGTTCCCCCTCCTCCTCCCCCCCTCCTCCCCCCCTCCTCCTCCTCCCCCCCCCCCCCCCTCCTCCTCCTCCCCCCTCTTCCTCCCCCCTCCTCCTCCTCCCTCCTCCGCCCCCCCTCCTCTTCCTACTCCTTCCCCCACCTCGGCGTCTTACGCATCTCATCCGTACGATGCCACCAATGCGACACCACCTTGTATGGAAAGCCAGGAAACAAAACAGAACCGGCAGGGGGCACGGAAGGCCGATTTACCCACTCACTCACCCACTTACTCACCCACTCACCCACCCGCTTACCCAGCCGCTCAACTACGCACTCACCCACTCTCGCACCCACTTACTCGCTCGCTCAACCACTCACTCACTCACCACTCATCCAGTCAGCTACTCACTCACTCACCCACTCATTCACTCACCCACTTACTTACCCACTCACCCACCCACCCACTCACCCACCCACCCACCCGCTTACCCAGCGGCTCAACTACGCACTCACCAACTCACGCACCTACTTACTCGCTCGCTCAACCAATCACTCACTCACTCACCACTCATCCAGTCAGCTACTCACTCACCCACCCACTCACCCACCCACCCACTCACCCACTCACCCACCCGCTTACCCACCCGCTCAACTACGCACTCACCCACTCACGCACCTACTTACTCGCTCGCTCAACCAATCACTCACTCACTCACCACTCATCCACTCAGCTACTCACTCACCCACCCACTCACCCACCCACTCACTCACCCACTCCCTCTTAGCATAAGTAGACGGTTCGCGTCATAGCCAAAGCAGCAGCAGCAGCAGCGGTAATTATCTCGCGGTCAGTACCCCGGCAGCAGCAGCAGCACCACCACAGCAGCAGCATGAAACTAAACTAGAAACGAAACTCTCTTTTACTTAACCAGGCAAGGCCCCCACTGAGCTACGCAGAACATTTTTCAGACGCGACCCGGTCACCACAAATGATAGCTCAACGAAGTGGCTCATCGTCATCACCACCACCACCGTCGTCGTCGTCATCACGTGGACATTTGGACAAGCAGCCGAAATACGACGTTGATTCTCCAAATGTAGAGAGAAAAACCCGGAGGACCCGCGGAAAAGATCCACGCAAACTCCAAACATACAGGCGCTTGGGTCGGGGTAGAGCCCACGACCTCCCGTATAGCAGGCGAGGTAGTTGACGTCTAGCCACCGTGGGGCCCCAATCAATGCAACGACAGCGGAGAGGGAGACAGAGAGAGAGAGACGCGAACTCCAAATCTACAGCAGCAGACCGTCAGGGGCTCCAGTAGCCTCCTCATGGCGGAGGAGCGTTCCAGACGGCCGCAGAAGCGCATCTGAACGCGCGTGACACGGTGACCACTCGTCGCTGTTCGAATAGTTTTATTTGAAACTATCCACGTGACTTTACCGATAAACCCAAAGCGTATGAATAAGACCTCGGCGGTTACCAAACTCTCAGGAATTTCCTTCGAGAACGCCAGCAAACCCACACACACACCCACACACACACACCCACACACACCCACACACACACACACCCACACACACCCCCCACACACCCACACACTCGCACAAACCCACACACCCACACACACACCCACACACCCCCCACACACCCGTACAAACCCACACACACACAAACCCACACACACACACCCACACACACACATCCACACACCCACACACCCACACACCCCCCCACACCCCCCCACACACACCCCACACACATCCACACACCCACACACACCCACACAAACCCACACACGCACACACTCCCCCCACACACACCCCACACATCCACACACCCCCCACACACACACACACCCACACACACACCCACACACACACACACCCCCCCCCACACACACACCCCCCACACACCCACACAAACCCACACACCCACACACACCCCCCACACACACACACACCCCCCCACACACACACACACCCACACACACCCCCCACACACCCACACCCCCCCCACACACCCACACAAACCCACACACCCACACCCACACACACCCCACACACATCCACACACACATCCACCACCACCGTCACCCCGAACGGATTATGAAAATCGTCTACCGGTTTTTTCCGTGTTAACAACTTTGGCTGGGGGCGGGGGGGCCCGACTGAGC